GACCAGGAGGAGATGCTGCCTGGGGCCATGTCTGTGGCCTGCATGACCTCAGGGAGCCTTAGGAGCCATGCAGATGAAATCAGAGGGTCATGCTGAGCCAGTCCTGCTCTTCCTTGGGCCTGGAAAAACTAGTCTTGCCTTTCACTGGACACTACATTAAGAGAGGTGGCCCCACACTCTGGAGAGATGTCCCCATCCCCCACAGGGGAGGCTGGACTCTGAGTGCAGGTATGTAGGGGAGCTGACTCCACCCCTTCGCCTGAGGCCAATGGCCCCAGTGGCCGGACTGACCAGCTTGGCTACCACCCAGGTCCTAGCACTTACCCCACCTGGGACCTGCTGGAGCTGGTGAAGGGACTGGTCCTGTGGAACGATACACGCAAGATCTCCAAGACTCAGGACGGCCACAGGATATCCCAGAGGAGCTCAGGTGAGGATCCAGTGAGGATGGTATCCCCGAAGCCAGGGGTCTTGAACAGACCAGTGACTCACTGCAATGAGCATTTGCCAGAGAAGCTGATGGGACAAAGGGTTAGTACATGGCTCACTGAGGCCTCGGACGCCAACAGGATGAATGGAGGGGTGTTGGAGAGGCAGAAAAGGAGGAAAAGAAAAGAGATTTTGCTATCATTTTTTGTTTTTGATTTTGTTTGTTTGCTTACTATATTTTGTTTTCTTTTGTGGGGGTGTGGCAGGGATGAGAGGAGAATATGGGGAGACCCGGAAGTGAGCAGAATTTGGGTGAACGATGTGAAACTCCCAAAGAGTCAATATAGAAGTTTTTTTTAAAAAAATATTCTACTATATGAAAAGAAACAGCTTTACAATTCATAATAAATACAGAATCTTTCAATTAATCTATTAAAGTTAATCCATCTTTAAAAAATACGTAATGGGGTATAGCAGAGAGATGGCTCAGAGGTGACTTCTTTTTTTTTTCAGAGGCTTGGAGTTCAGCTCCAGGCGCCTACAGTGATTTCCTCAGCTACTGTTCTAAAAATTGCTTTGCTGTTTTCTCAGCCTCACCCACATCAGAGCCTAGGAATGAGCCTTCCTAGCAATTGGGACTTGAAATAACATTGGAAATAATATTTGGCCCTCCATGTGCACAAAGTGTAATGCTTGACTGACAGGAAACTGTGCATACAGTTTTCAAACGGAAGCCACACCCCCACTGAGCCTTGCACAACTGGAACTCCAGTGAGGTGAAGTGGTCAGAACGCTGCAGGCCAAATAGCTAGAGCTAGCTCAGCCTCTTCAACAGCTGTTGGTTACCCTCCTCTGCTGTGATTGACAGATTTTGGAGTGCATGAATAGACCCCTAACTTTCCTCAAACTGAGGACGTCCTCAGACAGCATTTTAAGTCTATAGCAGAGACTTTTCCACTTTCCTGTAATCCACCTACCTTTTGTTTCCACCAATGCGGAACTGTCTTTGTTCTGTGACTACGCACACTTTTTGGAACTATTACCACATTGGGACATGGAACTGGGGTGACTTAAATTTGTGTTCTAGAGCCACAGTCACTCATCTTTGGCTCCAGAATACCCCGTTTCTTATTCCCACTCACCTTCTGTTTTGTTTGCGACAAGGTCTCTCTCGTTCACTGGGGCTGGGTTAGCTGTCCCAACAGCTTCTGGAGGTTTTCTGTCCCTGTCAGAACACTTGGATGGCAGATGCATGCCCTACTCCAAACAGCTTTTGTGTGAGTTCTTGGTGTCAGAACCCAGTTCCCAGGGCTTGCATGACTGAACAAACCATCCCTCCATTAGGTGAGCTGTGGCTTGATAAGAATGGCCACCATAGGCACATATATTTGAATGCTTAGTCATCAGGAGTGGCATTATTTGAGAAGGATTAAGATATGTGACCTTATTGGAGAAAGTGTGTCACTCAGGCGGGACTTGAGTGTTAAAAGCCATACCAGGGCCACTCTCCTCTCCTCTCCCTCCTCCCCTCTCCTCTCCTCTCCTCTCCTCTCCTCTCCTCTCCCCTCCTCTGCCCTCCCCTCCCTACCCCCCTCTGCTTGCAGATCAGAATGCAGCCCTCAACTACTGCTCCAGCATCATGAGGGCCATGATACAGACCAAGCCTTTGAAACTGTAAGCAAGATCCCAGGTTGTCTAGGTAATGCTGTCTCTTTAAGCAACAGAACAACTAAGACAGTTGTGTTTTCATGAACATTTTGTTTGGCGGGGCAGAGTCTTGACATGTAACCCAGAAACAAAAGTCTACACACATACATGATGCAAAGCATTGTTGAAAATATACAAAGAACTTTTTGTTTTGTTTTGTTTGTTGGAGACAGGGTTTCTCTGTGTAGCCTTGACTGTCCTGGAACTCACTCTGTAGACCAGGCTGGCCTCGAACTCACAGAGATCTACCTGCCTCTGCTTCCCGAGTGCTGGGGTTAAAGGCGTGCCACCTCCACCCAGCCTTATATAAAGAACTTTGAAGCTTAACAGTGAGACAGATCAATTTTAAAAAATTGGCAACTCCCCTAAAAACCCAAACACCTCACTAAAGAAGACACTCAAACTTAACAAACTTACAGAAATCTGCAAATGTCCGCTGAGATCTGAAGCTTGAAACCCACCCATTTTCAATCTAGTGAAATCCTAACCCTTAAGCTAGTGTGGTCGGGAGTGGGGCCTTGCAGAGGTGATAAGGCTGGGAGGGCTGAGCTCTTATAAATGGGATTGGTATACTTCTGTGATTTTGCGATTTGTTGTTGTGTTTTGTTTTTTGAGACAGGGTTTCTCTGTGTAGCCCTGGCTCTCCTGGAACTGGATCTGTAGACCAGGCCGGCCTTGAACTCACAGAGATCTGCCTGCCTCTGTCTCCCGAGTGTCACCACTGCTCTGCTATGATTTTGCTTTTTTTGAGGGGCTGGGAACCGAATGTGTTAGGAAAGAGCTCTACCACTGGGCCATTCTGTACCCAGCTGCCTCTTAAAGATTCCTCAGAAACCCTGTCCCCTTTCAGACAAAGGAAGCCGGAGGGAAAGGATGTGGGCCATGAGGTAACCCTGCTCAAGCTTGTATTCTCACGTCAAGTTTCCAGAACTGTGATAAATTAGTTTTTTGTGTTTTTTGGCCGTCCACTACACTTTGTTTTGTCACGAGTAACAATTTTCCAGGACTTGCAAAGTCACGGAGCTTCAGCCTCCATTTGGCCTTGAAGGAAGAGTCCATTCATTGACTGAGAAATACGCCAGTTTTCATACAACACAATCGGGTTGCCACACAATGCAGCCTTTGTGTTCCCCTGTGTGTGTTCAGATGAGACAAAAGCTGCAGTTCAGAAAACCAGCACAAAGCTGGTTACAGGATACATACATGCATACATACATACATGCATACATGCATACATGTGTGTGTGTGTTTCAACAAGTGACTGCGTACAGCGGTGTAGCCAGTTAATGGAGTATTACACAACCCTGAAGTGAAACTTGTTTCCTGCTATCCAGGGGACTAGGAAACCCAGCCACGTGCTCCTAAGGAAGGAACCGGGATCCTTTCTCGCATGTTTCTTGCATGACATCTGGGTAGGGCCAAGTAGCTGCAGAGGTCCTGTCGGTGATCCGAGGGCCTGGGGAGGGCAGGGCGCCAAGGGCGTCTGTGGAGAGAGAAGCCGCTCCCCGTGGCCCTGTGGTGGCCGGGGACAGCGTCACACCGTGTGCAAGCCCGTGGGGTGTCGGAGCGGACTGCGAGCTCCCACTGGAGGAGATAACACGGGCGGTGCAGCTCGCGGCTTAACAAACAGGTCTCTGTGCAGTGAAGGCCGCGCTCGGGCGGCAGAGGCCACTGGAAACCTTGTATCTTCTGCTGGGTTTTTCTCCGCGTCCCAAAGCCCTCTAGAAATAAGCTCCACAAAGAACCCTGTGGAGTCCTTTAAGAAGGAAAAGACCCGGAGAGGGGAGCTGGGTTGAGAAGGCGGCTGAGGGCCGGGCGGGCGGGCTCACGAGTGTGAAGGAACTTTCAGAAGAGAGACAGGGACAGGGGCCCTCTCTTCCTGACAAGACAGGCCGCAGCCCAGGCCCAGGCCTTCGTGTCCCTGAAGGGACCCGGGCACCTCAAGGCAGCACCCAGGCGGCGGAGGAGCACGTGTGTGCGAAGGGAGCAGCGCATGCGTCCCCGAGGGGCGTCAGGACGCATGTGCTGGGCGCCTGGGGCCAGGGTGACTCAGCGCCTCAGCTTCCTGCGTTTCAGGGCTGATGGGAGATATGCAAATGAGGAGCTGGAGCATCATGGGTGTTGGCCCTTTATAAGGCCGCGGTGCTGTGAAGAGGCGAGCTTGTGTGTGGAGTCCATTACCAGGCCTGCTGGGCGCCCAGTGAGGAAGGTGAGGCTGGGCCGGGCTGGGGCTGGCTGGGTGGCTGGGTGGCTGGGTGGCTGGGTGGCTGGGTGGGATGGCCTGCACCGGGGGCTGGGGCTGGGGCTGCGGCTGCCTGGGAGCGCGCTGGGCACAGGGAGATCCTGCTTTAGGCTTCCCGGCCTCCTTCAGTTGGTAGGCGGGGCCGAGTGTGAGGTTGGGGCCGAGAGCCCCAGGAGGCTGTGGTGAAGGGACCCCCAGTCGGCTCTAGGTGAGCACTGAGGGCCCCCCGGGGAGGGGCTGAGCCCCAGCTCTCCTCCCCTCAGTGGTCTGAACAGCCTGCCCAGCAGGGGGCGCCAAGCCTCATTTTCTCTGCCTTTCTAGCTCCCCAGACATTGGAGCAAGTGTGAAGCTGGAGAAGTTTCTGGAATCTCAAGGCTGTCCACTTCTCCAAGGAGGTATCCATTGAATTGGCACCCAGTTCTCACACCGCTACCCTGTGTCCTGGAGCCCAAAGCGCCCTAGACCTCCTACTGCCTCCCATTTTCTCCCGTTTCTCCCATTCTCGGCCTTTCCCGCCTGTCCCTAGCATCACACGGTCCCCAGACCCTGTAGACCTGACCTCCTGAGACCACCAAGCAAGGCTTCCTCTCTGTCCAGTCAGCTGCAGGCAGGCTTTTTGGCCATGTGTCCCCCAGTCAGCGTTCGCCACGGGGCCAAGGGCATGTCCTGCCTCTATGCGGCCTGGCTATACCAGCTTGTCCATGGGACCAGATGAAGATCTGCTTTGCTTGCCTCAAGGCAGCTTTCCTGGTAGTTAAGAACATGCTGGAGATGGGAGACTGGGAAGAGGAAGAGTGGGGTGCTGAGCCCATGGACCTCTCGGAGGCAGGATCCGAGCCGGAGGAGTGGCCGGGGCTCAGCTGGGGAGAGGGCCAAGGGCATCTGCCCCATGGCACCTCTGTTTCTACTGGTCCTGGCATCCTGACACCAGGCCCTGTAGGCACAGAGGGGATAGGGCTGGGACCCCAGCCTGTGCCCACTGAGCTGGGGCCTCAGGAAGCTGTCCCCCTGGACCTGGGCCCCGAGGATGCTGAGTGGACCCAGGCCCTTCCCTGGAGATTTGATGGTCTTTCTCCCTGCTCCCATTGGCTAATCCCCCCTCTGTCCTGGTGGGATATTTTCAATGTGAGCCCATCTCCTGGGCAACCTGTGTTGTTGGAGTTGAGCCCCATCTGGCCCATGGACCCGTTGGAAGCAGAAGCCTGGCTGGTAGACCTGAAGTTCGTCTTCTTGTTGGGTGGCTTCGATGCCATCTGCTACCTGCTGTCAATGACTCCTTGCTGGGCTGTGAGGACCCGGGTCCAGCGCTGGCAGGTGCTGCTGGACCCTGGTGAGGTGAGGGTGGCCCAGCTACAGAATGCACCTCAGCAGCAGGACCTGCACCGCTGGAGGCTGAGCATCTTGGAGTCCTCGGAGCTGGGTGTGGAGCTGGTGCCCGCTGATTGCAGCCTGCGGAAGGGAGGCTTCAAGGTGCACTCCTACCTGCCCTGGCACAATAGCACCCCAGAGGTCTGGAGCAGGGAGCCAGGGGAGAGGCTGCTTGTCATAGAAGTCGTGTCTCTGAGGGAGCTACCCTGTTTCCGCTCCCCCTCCCCTGATTCTCACAACTGAGGAGGCGCAGGCAGTCCCCATTGTCCTTCCTGTCTCAGGGCTCCAGGGACTGTGACGTGCCAGAGGTTGCCTGTCTTCAGCCATAGGTCCAGCAGGATGTCCATCATCTTGAGGGCGTGTCTGGAGCAGCCTGGGGGTGGGGCCTCAGGGAAACCTGGTGTAGTTGTCTTCAGTTGACTGTTGAGTGTTTAGAAGGTAAGCCCCAGCTTCCAGTGCAGGGGGAAGACTTGTGTATCAAGTATTATGGGGGGCAGGTCACTGATCCCTCGCCAGCTCTGCCTGAGGTGTAGGGGGGACACTAGACCACCAAGTCAGGTGTGGTTGACCCATGCATGTCCTGCATTAGGCTTCTGAGGGGTCACACGAGTCCTGGTTTCAGAGTTGACTGTTTATGCTGTTTGTTTAGTTTCTGCCCTGCACATGTTTCTGTTTAATAAAGTTGTCGTTTTTCATAGAAGCCTTTTTCGGTCTCCTCACTGGGTCCTAATGGGTTGTTCACCTCTCTCCTGGGTGAGTAGCTTTACAGACTTAGTAGTAGCCTGTCTTTGTAGTAGCCTGACTTCACTCGGATCCAGCCGACTTGGCTAGTTCGTAACTGAGAGGGGGTGTGTGGATTGAGAAAGGGCAGATAAAGATACTAAGGAAAAGACAGACACAGGATAGAATCAGGAGGGCAATCCAGTGAATAGTGATCACTCCAAGTTTATTCTTCAACATCTTAAATACCCTAACCAAAAAGGGGGAAATGGCAAAAGACTTCTTTATCAAGATACAAGGAAGAAACACTTTCTTAATTCTCTAAACATTTGGTAACTACACCTTAGACTAAATCTCTCATTATTTAGATAAGACATCCACCCCTAAGACCAAACATCCTACAGTAGCCATGCCTTAGGCCTTTAGGTCTTAGGTTTAACCTTGGAAGAGTAAGGACAGTTTTGATTTGAACTCTGTGACCTTTATTTTTATTTTTTTAAGATTTTTATTTTATTTATTTATTATGTATACAGTCTTGTGCCTTCAGGCCAGAAGAGGGCACCAGATCCCACAACAGATGGTTGTGAGCCACCATGTGGTTGCTGGGAACCAAACTCAGGACCTCTGGAAGAGCAGTCAGTGCTCTTAACCACTGAGCCATCTCTCCAGCCCGAACTCTGTGACCTTAAGTCAAAATGAAGTGGAGCCATGTCTGTGGGCCCTGACAGGACTTAAGGTCCCATAGAGCTGGGAGGGGGACATCGGGTTCTGGTCTGTTTTCTGGGTCACGTGGTCTCAAGTATATCAGCCACATCTTCATAACCCAAATGTAACCCAAATGTGCAGGGGCAGTTTCCTGTGTGGAAGAATAGTGTCTCATCTCACAGATTGACAGGAGGCAGCACAGGCATTAGGAGTTTAAGGTCACCCTCATCTGCATATTGAATTTGAAGATAGCCAGTCTCAAAAATACAAAGCTAAAAAAGAAAGAAAAAAGGTGGGTTTTTTTTTTTTGTGGTGTTGTGTTTTGTTTTTGTTGTTGTTTTTCCTAGCAACAAGAATCAACACTGCCTGATGCATGCTGGGCCAGAATTTCTGAAGCATGTATCTTGTACTATATTTTCTGGAATGTGGTCACACTGTGAAAACAGAGCTAGTCTTGAACTTTGGGCTGTCTTTCTGCCTCAGCTTCCCTAGTGTTTGACCACCATGTTTCGGGAGGGAAATAATCACTTGTTAATTATCCTGGAGTTGAATACATGAATCTAACTTAGGAATTTGGGTAAATGGTCCCTGTGCTGTAAGATGGGGTACTCGGTATGGAGTCCTTAGTAGTCCTGATTTTCCACCCACTGAGATCCAGCTGTGTGCTCTGGCCATCGCTTGTTATTTATGTGTGTTGATTAGCACCGTTAAGTAATCATGCTTAGCCATGCACTTTGAGGCTGACATTTATTTCATTTGCTTTATTTATATGTATGTGTGTGTGTGTGTGTCCTGTCTGTGGCTGCCTGTGGAGGTGAGAAGAAGGCATTGGATACTGGGCAGCTACAGTTTTAACGGGCAGTTGTGAGTCGCCTGACCTGGCTCCTGAGAGCCATGCTCTTGGTCCCCTGGAAAGATCAGTGTGGTGGTTTGAATGTGACGTCCACCATAGTTTCCAACATTTAAATAATGACCCCCCCCATCGGTGGCGCTGTTTCAGAAGGTTTAAGAGGCATGGTCTTACTGGAGGAATCAGGTCACTGGAGGCAGTATAAAGATTTGAGAGTTAAAAGATTCGTGTCATTCTGATATCTCTGTCTCCTTCCTGGTTGCTGGTTGATGTGAATTCTCAGTCTGGTCAACATCCTTCTTGCTGCTGTGCCTTTCTGCCATCAAGGACTCTTACCCTTCTGGAACCATAAGCCCAAATAAATTCTCTAAGTTTCCCTGGTCACAGTGTTTTATCCTATCAATAAAAAAGTAACTAATACAAACAGCAGTTGCTGTCAACTGCAGAGCCGTTTGTTTAACGACGATGGAGCCAAGCACTCTTAAGGCAAGTGCTCTGTCACTAAGTCGTATCGCTGCTCTTTCTGCTTTCTAGTTTGAAACAGGATCTTAGTAAGGCTGATCTCTTTTTGTTTGTTTGTTTGATTTTTGAGACAGGGTTTCTCTGTATTGCTCTGGAGGCTGTCTTGGAACTAGCCCTATAGACCAGGCTGGCCTCAAACTCACGGAGATTTGCCTGCCTCTGCCTCCCGAATGCTGGGAGTGCTGGGATTAAAGGGGTTTTCCACCAAAACCTGGCCTAAGGCTGATCTTGACTTCATAGGTTAGTTTCAAACTTTGAATCCTCCTGCTTCAGCCTCCTTAATAGCTGCGACTTGAGGACATCAGGCTTGGCTGAGACTGTGCTTCAAAAATAAGTCCAGGTGTCATTTGCTTGAGTCAAATACTTCCTGTCAATTTTTTAAAAGATTTTTTTGGGGGGGTGGACAGGGTTTCTCTGTGTAGCTCTGGCTATCTTGGAACTTGTTCTGTAGACCAAGCTGGGCTCAAACTCACAGAGATCCACCTGCTTCTGCCTGCCGAGTGCTGGGACTAAAGGCGTGTGCCACCACTGCCCAGTTGAGATTTTAATTTTATGTGTAGGTGTATCAGTATATATTGCCTATATGCATGTTTCCGCACCGTGTTCATGAACTGCTCAAAGAAGTCAGAAGAGGGTGTCAGGTCCCCCTGAAACTGGAGTTACAGATAATTGACAGCTGCCATGTGGTTGCTGACAATCAAACCAGGGTCTTCTGCAAGAGCAGGAGGGTCGTGAACCACAGAGACATCTCTCCAGCCCCTCACTATCAAAATTTAGGAAGCAGATCAGAGAGGAGATCTGACCTGATCAGATTGGAAGTTAGATAGGTGGAGAATCAATGTTGTATAGAGATTCTGGAAGTCAGCTGCCTTTGGGGTTTGGAGTCCTGAAACCATCTCTTATCATCCCAGGGCTTTTGACCTTGGAATCACTGGGAGCATACAGGCTCTTTCCCTCCTACCCTTCTTCCTTCCCCACACAACACCTCACAAAGCCAGAGGTAAGGTAAGCTCTGTCTTTTTTTTTTTTTTTAAGATTTTATTTATTTATTATGTATACAGTCTTCTGCCTGCACTCCAGCAGAGGGCACCAGATCTCACTCAAGGTGGTTGTGAGCCACCATGTGGTTGCTGGGAATTGAACTCAGGACCTCTGGAAGAGCAGTCAGTGCTCTTAACCTCTGAGCCATTTCTCCAGCCCCGGTAAGCTCTGTCTTAGTAATCAACAGCCATATGCAGGCCCCTGTCTGTCAATTGCCCGTAAGCCTGTGGTAACAGGTAATGCTCTATTACCCTGGGCTCTAGCAATGACAGTAAGTGTAGCCACCATATCCCATCCAGGCCACAAGAGCAGAGTCAGGGGCTAGGTGCCCAGCTAGGTGCTGGGGCTGATTTTGGCTTCTTCATCACCCTCCAAAATGGCATCTGCTGTATTCAAAAGACAAAAGTCTCAGTAACATTCAAGAATTAACTATTCTGGGCAAATCAGACTCATGCAGTCATCTTACCCTTAGCCACTGGCCGTCTGCCCTTTTGGTAGGGTGCCCTCCCGGTCCATCATTCAAGTGACAGACAGTACTGCACACAATGAATAACACATATCTGGGTTGAAAATAGCTTTAGATATTTTTATTTAACTTCCTTATTTTAAGCTTTAAACAAAACCAAAGATGTGAGCTGGGTGGTTGCAATTGTGGGCTGCATGGAAATGTGAGCACCTGTCTGCAAGCAGTGGGTCCCTCCTTGGAAAGATGGAGGGTGAAAAGCATCCTAACAATTCTAAAGGCATTCTTAAAATCTCTAGACTCCCAGTGTGCCCCCACTGCCCTAGTCAGTATGGGCCCTTGTTGAGGATCCCATGAGAGACCTCTAGAGGCCACTGGCAGGCACACAAAAGCCCCCCCCCCCCAAACTGTCACAGCACCCTTCTTCAATCACTGCCTCTGGTGAGTGATCCAATGTCTAGCGTTTTGTCCAGCTGTCCTTTCATTTCCAGAGAAGGCAGGACCCTATACACCCTGGCTCAGGCACAGAGCCCTGTGTTCAGGATGGGTGTGGGCATGACAGATTTGGGCCAAAAACCCATTCCCGAATCCTGCTGTGCTGAGTGTTTGGTTTAAACAGACACAGTTGGAGTACACAGGCCCCCAAAGTCAGGACCGAGGCCAGCCCACACATCTGGTGAAGAAAAGATTATGGAAACTTACTGCTCCTGGGAATACTTGGCCACTCCCGCTGGCTTGGAGATGGTGCCAGGAATCCTGGCATCTTCGAGAGTGTCCAGAAGCCCACCATCCCCATGGTAGGACCAATTTTCAGGATAGGCCTCCTTGAAACTTTCTGCTTGCCGATGGCACAACCTAGTGGTCGATTTATGCTGATCAGATATATCCTCTTAGACTCTCCAGGTATTCCAGGCCCTGCCCCTAGTCGCTCTCTTAGGAAGA